CGAGGCCTGTCGCATGCAAAGCTGGGCGCTCATCACCTATCCCGTCTCACCAACAAGCAGCTGGCCGCCTGCAGCCGACCCCCAACCCCACCTTGACACACACACACACACACACACACACGATTGAACCATTACAGGACCGAGGCGTCCGAGCGCGACGCGGCCGCCCGCGCGGCGCTCGCCTCCTTGGCGCGCGGCCTCGCGGCCAAGGAAGGCGCGCTCGCGCGGCTGCAGCTGGCCGCCAGTGCCGCGCGGCTGGGGACGCTGAGCGTGGCACGGAGCGGGCCCATGGGGTTCGCAGAGGTGAGCAGCCACGACGTTTGCCCGTCGCGCCGAAGCGGGCTGTGGGCGCTGCCTTAAGGCAGGCGTAACCCATGATCTTCACAGTCAGTGCAGCCTGCGGACTTTAGGGGGCGGTTGGTGCAAAGCGCCAGGCCATCTGTCCCGCGCAGCAACGACCGCACAAATGGCTGTGCGCAGGTCTGGGAGGACGGGCCCGCGTTCCTTGAGCTGGTGCGGCGCGGGGCGGCGCTGCAGCGGCAAAAAGAGGAGATCGAGGCGGCGCGGAAGGTGGGGCGCGCTCGGGTGTTGGTGTCCCTGGTTTGGCCACACGATGTTTGCAGCGTCGCCACGGCCTTGCGAAACGCCGTTGTGCAAGGGTGTTTAAAGGGGGCGTGGGCTGTTCCCAAGGGCGCTTTCTTGCAAACCGTCGCAGGCGCTGAAGCGGCGGCTGCCCCCGCCCCCAAGGGCGGCAGCGGCGGCAGCGGCGGCGGCGGCGGCGGCACCAGACAGCCAGGACCCAAGTAGCGGCGGCGCCTGCGGCCCCAGCAGTAGCGGTGATGTGTATCTGACGTCAGCAGAGTACGTCACCAAGGACGAGATCCTCAAGGTCAGTTGGCGATGCGTCTGTCCAGCGCTTTCGCGTGTTTGCGGACCACACGGGCAAAAGCCATAGCATGCCTGGTGTATGGGCCCGTGATGTGAAACCGGGTTTGCAACCTTGCCGGCAGCAGTTGGGACATGCGCGCGCGCGGCAGGGGCTGCCTCGTGTGCTTGGGCTTGCGCACAGCCAAAGGCTTGACAACGCGAAAACGCCCAGGGTCGCCGTAACGGCAACCGATCCTTGCTGTCCGTTTGCTTTGCTGCTGTCAATGTTGCCGCGTGCCGCGCAGGTGCGCCTGTCAGTGCTGAAGCGTGAGGAGGAGGCGCTGTCACGGGAGGAGGAGCGGCTGGCCCTGGACCGCACAAGACACATACGGTAAGGGGGGGGGTGCTATGTGGGAGGGTTGAGAAGAGAAGGGGCATGATGTGCATGGCATCGTCTGGCGCACGGAGCTGATGGCCCGGGCCGCCCCCTGCCCCGCTTGGGGCTGCCCCTGGGAGATATGAGGCCCGCGGCACAAGAGCGTCCGAGTGGCACCCCGGACCGCGGGCATGAGGCGTGCGCGACAACGCCGCCGCGTCGCGCACCGCCGCGCCGCAGGCTTCTGAAGCGCGTGCGCGAGGAGGAGGGCAGCCGGTTCTGCGGGCACCAGCCGCTGCTGCACGGGCGCTACGTGCTGATGGGGCTGCTGGGGAAGGGCGGGTTCAGCGAGGTCCACAGGGTGAGGGGGCGCCCTGGGCACGACCTGATTAGCCAGTGGGGGCTGGGGTGTGAGTGAGCATGTGTGTGGTTGTGTGTGATTGTGTGTGTGGTTGTGTATGCGTGCGCATGTGAGTGAGTGCGCGCATGTGCCTGCGTGTGTGTGTGTGTCTGGGTGGGGATCAGAGGTGCTTGGGACGTTTACTCATGAGCGTGGGTTCGCGACCTGTTGAACCTGGTGTGCGTGTGTGTGTGTGGGGGGGGGAGGGCATATGTGTTGTTGTGATGCTGGATCAGGGGAGCAGCCCGACCCAAGGACCAGAAACCACACCCTGCCACATGAGACTCCACTCAGCGGCCGCCCCCACGCCCTCGCCGCGCTACACCTCTGCACCCCCCCTTGCCTTCCCCCTACTCTGCCACTTGCAACCTTTCCTTGCTTCCCCAAACGCCCGTCTCTAAGACCCCTCAATATGACTTGTCGCTCTCCCCGTGTTCCCC